TAAAATAAAATAAAATAAAATAAAATAAAATAAAATAAAATAAAATAAAATAAAATAAAATAAAATAAAATAAAATAAAATAAATAAAATAATAATAAAATGGGGGGAAGGAAGAAGAGCCCTCCCAGGCCAGGCCAGGTGGTCTTTGAATTCTTGGCCCATCAGAGTTTCAAGGAGAATCAGAGCCCGTTTGATGCTCTGAAAAGGGGAAGGGAGACTGACGGAGGCCCTGAGTGCAGAGAACGCTTTCATCCCAAGATGAATTGGGGATGAAATCCTCCCTTTGGGACAGCAGCCAGTTCCTCAACTAGGCAGGAAGGGTTGGGGAGGGGGCAGGAGTCTTGGGGTTTCCAAATGGCTTTGTCCAGGGGTGAAATTAAAAACATTTTGCTACCAGTTCTGTGGGCGTGGCTTGGTGGGCGTGGCAGGGGATGGATATTGCAAAGTCTCCATTCCCCTCCCCCCACTCTGGGGCCAGCTAGAGGTGGCATTTGACGGTTTTCTGAACGACTCAAAAGTTCCGCTTCTGGTTCTCCAGGACCGGTGAGAACCTGCTAGATTTCACCCCTAGCTTTGTTGAAGGCAAGAGCTTTTAGCAGAGGGATCCTTGCCTCCCATTGGAAGATCCTTTGAAAATCCCCTTAGGAGCAACAACGAATGAATGGAAACAATATCACCAAAAGAAAGGGACCTACTTTCTTTGGATCATTCAGTCCAATCCAGACCTGGCCTGAACGTGTGATATAGTGAGTGATGTACTCGGCCAAGTCAGCTGACTCTGCCTTGCTGTGGATGGAGGCGAGGTGGCAGCCTGGCTTCAATTTCCTGCAGAACATCTGGGGGAGAGAGAGAGAGAGAGAGCAACCACAAGGAAGGGCGCTGGTTCAGCAGGGAAGAAACAGGTGTGTTTGCTTGTTTGTACTGTGCAAGGGAGACAAGAGCAGGGATCCGATTGCATGGCCCAACCCACGGTCTTGAACCCCGCAGATTTCTTCACAGAGGTCTGCAGCTCTTGACCAGTTCCTGGCTTAAATTCCCACTTCATTTATTGCCATCTGAGATGCCCTTCAGAGGCAAAACAGTCTCAAGATGCCAGCCGGAGTTGCCAGCGAAACATCTTGAAGTCTCTTGTCTGCAAGGCGGTCACTCAACCCTAACGCTCAACACGGAGTAAGGATTAAAAGAGTTGGAGGTCTTCTA